GGGAGAGGGGGGTGGCGGGAGTGCACGTGGGAAGTGGGAGGGCTGCAGGGAAACATGACGCGAGCCTGCCTCACCTTTAGCTGCTCTACTTGTTCTGGCTTCAGCTCGTTCTGTACAGAATGGGGTGGGACAGAAGAATTGATGATGATGGAGATCTGCAGAGAAGACACAGAGGGCAGGTTGAATTCCGGGGAGGCCTAAGCAGCAGGCCCAAGACCCACCCCCAGCCACGCCGGGCCCTTTACACACACCCTTCGGTTCTCCTGATCCAAAATCTTATAGTTGACGGCCTTCAACGCAGAGGCGGTACTGGCATCCTCAACAAAAAACTGGGCCCGTGTGTTTTCATAGTGAAACTGCACCAAGAGGAAACAAGAGCATGAGACTCGGGAGCCCAGGGCCCCTGGTCCAGCTGGCCCCTCGCCCTCCTTGGTGCCCAGCCAGCCACGCAGGCCTTATCTCACCTCAATGGGGGTGAAAGGGACACTGCACTTGCTCTGAATCACACTCAGGAGCCATGACTTGTCATATTTTCTGCCATAAGGAATCTAGATGAGAGAAAGAGAAGGGAACGATGTGGAACGAAGGCTGACCAGCAGCCCCAGTCTCCTCCTTTCACACCTTCCGCCGACCCTCACAAGGTTTTCTAAAGAAAGGGCCAGTTAAAAGTTTTTTGTTTTCTTCCTTTCTTCCTTCCTTTCTTTCTTTCTTTCCCTCCCTCCCTCCCTTCTTTCTTTCTCTTTCTTTCTTTCTCTCTCTCTTTCTTTCTTTCTTTCACTCAAGCCAGACATGGATTCCTTGCCCTCCTTTCTGTCCATTTAAACTTAGCATTTCTTGGGGTGCCTGGGTGGCCCAGTCAGTTAAGTGTCTGACTCTTGATTTCGGTTAAGGTCATGATTTCACTTAAGGGAACTTAAGGGACCCGAAGCCCCACACTTGGCTTGAGCCAAATGGAGACATTCAGAGGAATTACTCCATCTCCCAACCAGTTTTCATGTTTCCCTTTAGATGATGTCCCCATCCCTGCCCCCCAGCATCCTGCTTGTCCTACTCCTTTTCTTAACCTGCTCTTGGGTGTTCTAGAAGAAAGGAGAGACACCTGATTGTGGAGAAAACAGATTTTGTCATGTGAAAAGCAGAAACCTTCATTCTGAGCCCAGCTCCCTGTCTCCCTTGCACATCCACTTCCCCAGACACTCACTGTAATCTTAAACCAGTTCTTCGAGGTCCCGTCCTGGCTGGTGCCAGCCCCTCCTCTCTCTGGAAGAGCTCTGTCTCTCCGCACGGTAACATGAATGCGGTCTCGATCATGCCAACTGTCACCTCGACGGTTGGGTCGGGCAGCATAGGGGTTGCTATGGGGAAGCAGAGAACAAAATGCCCACAAACACTAGGCATGTCTTCTCCAAGGTCTGCCCACACTGTTGTCAGGATTACAGCTAAGACTCCTCAACCAGTAAGCTGGCCCTGGCATCCCTCACTTTTCCAGGTGGAAAGAGAAATGACGTGGCCAGTAAGAGAGTTTATCAAACAAATGGGCCGCTAAATTCAAACCAGATCAACTGGTTACTTACTATCGTACTCGGGGAACCTCCTGGGCATCACTCATCGCTACATCTCTGTCATCTTCCTCCAGGCGGGAAGACCGAATGCCAGAACCTCCTCTTCCAGACCTACGGTTCCCCTCACCATATTTCCACCGGAAGGGACCCCGGCCCTTCTTTCTTCTTTGAGGGAAACTAACACGGTCATCGTGCTCTGGGGTTAAAAGCAGAACATCAGTTAGAAAGTACACTGCTAGTCCAGCTACCTTGTTGGGGCAGTCACAGTATCCAGCACCCTGCTATCGGATGAGATACACAGTAACTACAGGGGCCACTTCCCTGCAAACTTCTGTCTGTTGAGAGAGAACCCTCTCTGTGGCATGGCGGCATGAGGGAAATGTTACTGGAAGACAGCGTCGGGCTTTAGGAAAAGGAATCAGAAACTGGAACTAACAGAGAAGAGAAGCACAATGTGGAAGTGTGAGTGGACCCAAAGCAGAACTAGACACAACTCGGACCCCCGGGGAAATTCACCTGAAACTTGCTTGCTTAGCCTCCCAAATCTATTTAACCCCTCTCAAACTCTGGGTGGTGACCTCTCTCACATCTTCTAAAATCAACCAATTACAGTCATTACATTAGCTTTCAGTACACAATACTTTTGCAATACAGAGAACAAACGGCATACGGTTACAAAGGTGGTCAACTTAAAGGCTTTTTAAAAACTCTTGTTCTCAAACTGCCATTCTGAAGTTTTGGGAGTGAACTCTTCATTTCCTTGGCCAGAAATGCCTTTTTAAAAAAATCTTTTTTTTTTTTTAAGTGTTTATTTATTTTTGAGAGAGAGACCAAGGCAGAGGCAGAGCAGTACTCACGGGGGAGGGGCAGAGAGAGACAGAGACACAGAATCCGAAGCAGGCTCCAGGCTCTGAGCTGTCAGCACAGAGCCCAACGCAGGGTTCAAACTCACAAACTGTGAGACCATGACCTGAGCCAAAGTCGGAGGCTTAAA